TTATACAATTAAATGAATACATAGTTGAGATAGATGTTAAGTATTGATGATCTTATCGAAATGTTGTTGCAATAATTTTAATCTACGGAATGAAGTTATATTTAAAATTATTTTAACTTTACCAAACACTGTGCATATGTGCGCATTTTGGTAAAATCAACTAATAAACTGTATTGAGTATGTCATACATAACTCGATACAAGTGAAAAGAAACATAATGAAACTATGCCAGTAGATAAACACTTTTTTGTTATTACTTTTACACCTACGTGGTTTTAAGATCTTCATAATTTTAATGGCAAAAAAGTAAGAAATGTGTAATGCAACGTTAAATCTGCATTTAAAATGAAAATTAAGTGAAAGGAACAATTAAAACGATAAAGGGCAAATGTCTGAGACATTGAATATAACACGTTGTTTTAAGTAATTCATACTTCTGTACAGGAAACTTCTCTGAAAAATGTTAAATTGCAGTCCATTTAAGCAAAACATTAATCAGAAATTGTAATATACAATGGCGAAAATATGTAGTAAATAATGTAAGTATGTGTATACGTATACTGCAATGTGTTTTACTGCTACAATATTCATAATAGTATTGATCAAAAAATGAACAAACATAATAAATACACATATTTTTATAAAATAAGAGATGAATGAAGTTCAGGTATTCCACATTTGCCTTTTTATGTATATATTAATGTAGTTAGTATAATTTTCTATAAATATTACGTATACATAAGCATATAAATGAGACGTATGTATTTATGTATATGCTTGTATGCATTTATATATATGTGTGTGTGTGTGTGTATGTATATATGTATGCATATATATTATATATTATACATTATATATAATAGGCACATTATACATATATGTAAATGTATACACACAAAGTAAAAATGAGATATATGTTATAATGTTAAAAACAAACGAAACAAAAAAGCTGTTTATGCCGACAATTTATAATAGTCAACTCTTTATTAATATTTACATACACAATTGTATTTATACTATTGGGTGTAGGCTGTCTTTACATACTGTACTTAGCTAGTGGAGATCACATTGTTGAAGACTATGATAAAAGAATAATTTATAATAACTCTGTTCGTATATTGTACAAACGAACCACATTTATACGAATCTTTAATTACATCTGATCACATTTTAAGATCTCCCATGTCATTAAATTTCTATATTGTATAAATAAAGCTGAATAAACCTTTGGGGAAAGTACTGTATGTACTTTGATATCACATATACACAATACTTACCCACCCCTGCATAATTTTACAAAGAATAAAATCCTATTAAAGTTACAGAGCCTTTATTTGTAAAATACATATGTTACATACCACATTTCAATGCTACATTTATACAAATATAACTGTAAGAAAAAAATTACACCTTTCATAATATTAACGTATTTCATCCTTTAATCCGACTGCAGGTTGAATGAAGCATGTATTTAAGTTTATGTAAAACTTAAGTCAAGATATTGTATTTTAATCTTTGCTTAACAAAATATCTTGGTGACTTGTATTGATTAAATACATTTATTCCTCTCGATAAATATTGTAAACTCACAAAGTTCTAAATTCTTTTCTTTGATGCCCTTTATAATAATAACTTATGATAAACACTGCTTCAAAATCAATGACTTTTATGATTAAAATTTTCTATTTTTTATGTTACAAATAATCTTTTGCTTCATTCACTCATAATTAAGAGACTTATCCCAACAAAATATTCTCATCTTCATTGTAAAATCTCATTGTTGCCACTTATATTTAACACGTTCCCTACCAGACCGTTTTTTGAAGACTTTCCGTTCAGGCGTATACGCCCCACGCTTTACAACTGTATTGTTATATTTCTGAAGTATGCCTTACAATAATTAAAATAGTGCAAAAATCATAATTATCAAGGAAAGGGTCTATAGTTTAAGATGCATAACAGAACAAACCAATAAATTAATTTTTCTAGGAATTAGTTTAACAAATACCTGTCTGAACATTACTTTACCAAGCGAGTTGCATCCTCACATATAATTTTTTTTTATCATACCTATATCAGTTTAAAATAAAACATTTTAATTGAAATCAAGTTTGTATACAATTACAGAGGGATGTTACGGTGAACTTTATTAAAACATTCCAAACATAAGTGTGGTTTATCCACGCAACTATTGCAGAATGTTGAAACTTTTACAGTATAGTTTCTTGCCGATTGGGAACCTAAATTTTTAACATTTTTTTCGTAACAAATTTTGCAGCGCCTTCTTATCGAATTAAAGTGGCCTTTCTTTTTTTTAATTTCGTGTCGATTTCTTCTTGGTCCAATTAGTAGAGAATTATTATTATTATTATTACACGACATCAGATTCATTGCTAATTTTTTCGGAATTCGATGCTTGTTATTTTTCGGTATGTAAGAATGTTATATATAATCCATGAATTTACTACAGCTGTGTTCAGGCAAAGTTCAAACAACAATTTTTTTGTACCACTTTACTGATTTTCGTAGAGTACTGCAATATGAAGCCATTTGATCGCAGATATTTACATAAGACTTTCCTTCATTATAATCCACAATAACCTTCGGTTTTATAACAATATTCCCCCTTTTCTGCATAACCACAGTTTCATTAGAATGCTTCATTGATAATAGAAGGACATCTCGCTTGTCCTTCCATTTCAATATTGTCAAACCATCATTGCTTTCCTTAGCAATATATTCATATCGCTGTAATTTTTTTGAAAGTAGATCTTTTGAAATTCCACGGCGATTTGATTGCATTGTTCCAACCAGATGAGTGTTTTGAGTTTCTTGGCTAATTCGATACTTGTGTACCAGTTATCGGTACATATTGTATGACCTTTGCCAAATATATTTTTACACAATGACAGAACAACATTGGTAGGCGTTGTTTTCTCTATATCCGTTTTTTTCCCACAATAAATTTTGAAGGTGATCGTGTATCCCGGTGCTGAACATAATTTGAATATTTTGATACCGTACTTATGTATTTTTTGTTTTATATACTGTTTGAAGACAATGCAACCTCGAGAAGGAATCAGAGATTCGTGTACACAAACAATTTCGCCTGGTTCAAAATACTTTTCAAAATTTTCATTTAACATATCAATCACTCTTCTAATTTTATACAAGCGGTCGTTTACATTTTCTTTTTCATTGTCGTTAAAATGCAACATTCGTAGCAAAAGTTCAAACCGATTTCTTGACATTATTGAAGATGGAAGAGTTTGCGAATATGCCGGATCTTTGGACCAATACAAACTTATTTCTGGAAGCTTTACAATTCCCATCCACATAACAAGTCCAAAAAAAACGTTTTATCTCGCTTTTGTCCGTTGCTTTCCATTCATTTAATCGCGATGTTGTTTGTTCTAATAGTAATTTTTGCGCATACCGATAGGTTTCTATAACTACCAGTTCGAAGAATTCATCATTCACAAGCAAAAAATAAATATCTTCCGGTTTTTCATAAGTTTGATTAAATATTTTGAAACCCGGTGTACCAACGAAAGGCGTAAGGCGCGATTCTATAACACTGAAATAATATATACGTACCGTATTTCCTTCGTTTATTATACTTTAGAAACACACTGAACTATAAATAAATCCCAACTTCAGTGAAGCAGTAACTATTATATACACGCGAATAAATGACTGATCGAAACAAGAGAAGTGCAATTAAAACAAGTTGCGGTGAAAAAAAATTGTCTACCACGCTGCGTGGGGCGTATACGCCCCACGATCAAATGAGCGCATCAGCAATAGTGTTAAGATGCCCATAATTGACTGCATAAGGAATTTTTAAAAAATTCTTCATTTTACAATGATAATACCAAATGGCTTGAACGGAAAGTTCAGCGTGGGGCGCATACGCGCCACGCGGCAGGGAACGTGTTAAGGATTTAATTTAATATGTACATTTAAACTCTAACAAATATACAAGATGAATCTATTAAGATAAAATAAGTTTCAAGCTAAAATTATGTAACATCAAGAGAATAATAATATAATAATCAGTTTCTTGCTATTTTTTACTGACATATGATATCATTTTAAATATGATGTTTAACAGTTTATGTTAATTACCCATTGAAAAATTTGTACATAAAAGATGATGAAACGAACTTGCACTTATGAATTGCCTGTACAGTTGAATATAGTCGACAACATATCAAGTATTTCTTACGTCAAAAATCATTAAAATAACTGCGAAATAAAAAAATACTTCGCGAAGTTGAAATATCTTCTAAACTAATAATAATAATTTTTATACAGAATATAGAGTTTCATCGAGTATTAGATAAAAAACACGATTCTATTTGAAAAAATGAAGATGACCTTGAAATCTCCAAACTTCTTCTACTTACAACAAAATTATTTCTGCCACTCTATAATCCTTATTATATTGTTACATACAACTTTTGTTTCTAAAGTTCTTTCAAATCTCCAGGAACAGTGGGGATACTCAAGGTTCTCATTCTTACTGAAACACCTTGTATATACAGTATACATATACCGTGGTTGGAAAAGATGATAATAAGTAGGTATGTAATTATAAAAAGAAAGAAACGGTGTTTAATTTTGCATTAAGAAAATGATAAGTGGTTTAAAGGTGTAAATTATGATATGAAAAATATAACTTGTTAACCAGGCGATTTCTTGCCCATAACTATCATGTAATCAAGTGAAAAGTTCGATAATTATTTGAAGTGAAATATCCCACGATA